TTCTTGCTCGGTCGTTACCACACCCGCAACGGTACTCTCATTCGGCAGTGCCCCCCGTGAAGAGCTCTCGCTCTCTTCTCCCTCCCCATTTCCCGAAATAACTGACGTCCAGCCCCTTCGCAGCACGTACACGCCACCATTTACCGCACATAGCCTACAGAACGCTTGTGCTACTTCTCCCCACCCATAATTAGGATAAAGGAATGGAGTTTTCGTCCCATACTTCATCATGGATTGTTGATACGTCCGGACCATGTCCATCCCTTCAGTTCTGCCGAGGCTAGTCTCCTTTCCAGTGGCAAAGGCAATTGAATGTAGGATAAACTCCTGAAGCTTCTCCGTCAAGTCCATCTCGGACATCTCGTCTAAAAAAGTGCGGTTTTCTTCTGTGTCCCCCGTACTTGCCGGCGGACCGATTTCTTGTTCTGTCTCATTCGCCAGACTGTCTCTTCCGTCGTAACACTTCTTCACAAATCTCATGAGCAACCGCTTTTCAATCATAGACACAAATCGATTCTGAAATACATCCGATCTTGAGCCCGGAACATGTTGTAAACCGTGCGGCTCGCCAAACTCTACATACAAGCCATCAAGTCCTCGGAAATCGAGGTAGTGTCCTACATTTGTCCGGACGAGCAAGTCGATCATCGCACCAGCCGCCATGAGAGGGCGGGGTGTGAAATCCAAACAAAATTCCCGGGTTCTTTCTGGTGGAATCTGTTCTGAAACCGGATTGTTTGGAGCCATAAGACGCAGACCATCTGGAAACATTCGCCGGTGTGCAAATACTTCTGGTAGGTTTCTCAACTGATAATGCGGTCCCAATTCTCGTTCAATTTGCTCTTTGACATCAGCCCCGGGCGTTTGGTACATGCGCAAGTGATTGTCTTCGGCAGGTGCTGTTACAGAATCAGCAACCAGCTGATCGATCTGCGACAACGGTATTGTAGCCCTGAATTCGCCACATGCGGTTAGAGCTTTGCTTTGCCGTTATTCGCGCTGGAAAGAATGCGCGAGTGTGGACTCACCATTCGCCCCCATAGAAACTATTTGGGTCGAGATGCAAAACTCTGGATCCAGCCAGAGCTAGTGAAGCAGCAAGAATTGACTCAGGCAGACCTGTACCCAGTATCACGACGTCATACTCAGTCTGCGAAAGAGGTTCGCAGAAATAGCGTGCCATTATGACCAAATTATCAGATGCTTATGCCTCAGGCGGCTTCTTCCGAATTGGATGCTCCAGTTACGAATGTAACGCGGTGGCTCAAAGCTTCCATCTTGACGCGCACGGCAGACTCATGCTTACCAGCGGTTGTAAGGTCAACTTTTGCAAATCCCTGTCTCGGATTTCTTTTCTCGTCCACGATGCTACGCTTCAACGTCACTGCTGTCAAGGGCTTGGCTGCTTTAGAATCCCAGCACAAAACATTTTAAAAAGCAGAAATTTCGCAGAAATTTTGTCTTAACAAGTGTGCCTTCGAGCATGCGCCGACAAGTGTTACGATGATGCCTAAATGAGGGCCTCATTCGCCCAAGTCATGTTCTGTTTGCGTATACGTTTAGCACTGGCGGAGTAACTCATGCATACCCAAGCAAATACTATTTCCGGGCGCTTTGCTCGATAGCAAACATGAATGACATGTATGGATGGCCACTTATAACCTCTTGCAATATATGCTAACCTCAAGACAAATGCCTACTTTCTAGACGACGACTGCCACAGACCATGTCATAATTTCAAGTCCTTCTTCTACATTTGTATATACTTGATAAGAAAGGGAAGGCTACCACAACACCGGAAATGAGGCGTACATTGCGATAGACCACAATGCATTGAGAACTTCCTGTCCGTTCCAAAAGACGTTTGAAGGAAAGTCTAATGAAGAAGAAGTATTTAGAGCCTTCTCTCTTTTGATACCTTCCAAACCAAATGCTCTGCAAGGTGTGGATATCAAACCAACTCCATTCACATATTGATGCCGAGGATAAATAGGTCAACAAATCGAGTTTAAGATTGGCGTTCCGAACCAGCGACTTAGTTTGGGCGGCTAGTAAGGCTGGCCTCAACGGAATTGATCCCTTGAAATCAAGATAGATCTCTTATGAGGTTAAGTTTTCATTAAATATATGTCAACCATTAGACATTAAGTTCAAAGCGACGTTGTCGAAGAGAAGCCTCAGTTGACGTCATTCATCACCGACACAAAAGAGCAATTTGAGTCTTGATACGAACAATGCTAATTGTCTAAAAAGATGGCTGCCTGAGTTGCCTCAACATCAATGCCGTTGGATTTTTATTATTATACCAAACACCCATTGCTTCTGTTCCGTTTACCCCTCTAACGTGTTCCCACTTTGTTCATCGCGACGGTACATTGCGTATGGCCCATATGCAGCTCTGTAGCCTTTGCGTCTGTCGCTTCTGCATGACTCCGACCATGATGGGCTGAAGAGCAAAACGCTTCCCAGTTCCACGATGACCGCCACGGCTACACTCACCCGCAATGAAGGTCTTCAAAAGTAGAGCCTCAGCACTCTTGGCCTTCTGACCAACCAACTGTATTTTGACAGTTAATTTCGATATGTTTAGTGGCGGCAAAACGCGCGCTAGTCAATACTCCTCTGCCAACTCTACCCCTGGCCACTCCACCATCTCCCAAGCCGGGTAGAAGCCAAAGGCTGAAACGCAGTAGCTGGGGCTGGAGCGGTTTCTGCCTTGTCCTTCTCCTCGACTGGCTTTGCTTCAACTCTCTCCTCCTCGCCCGGAAACCGCACGCCATCAATGGCAAGATCGAACATGACGGGTTTGCATGGCACGGCCTCCAACGCCGGGGGCATTTCACAAATGACCCTGGTCGGATCGCGCGGGTTAGCAAACGACTCGAAGGCGTCCAGATGGTCGACCATCTTGAGCTTCTGGACGAACGCAGCGTCCTTCGCCTTGATATCGAACCCCTCGACGGCGCTTGCAAGCTCTTGCTCGTTCAAAAACGCCTGTGCCTTTGCGCGGCACTTCATGCCCGTGCTCTCCGTGACGATCTTGGCAGCCTCCTTTGCGTGGGCGCCCTTGAGGGCCTTGGCGTGGTCGCTGACGCGGTCGAAAAGAGCAGCCGCCTCGCCCTCCAGCTTGGCCGCCTGGTAGCACTGGGCCAGATGGAAGCAACGGTGGGCCCTGAACAAGCGGCGCCTCGCCTCGGCCTGGTTTGACACGGCGGCGTCCGCATCCACGCCCGGCAGAGCCAGGACATCGGTCATATTCGCGATGAGGTTGTCGTACAACCTGACGAAATCGTCCGGCTTTGAGGCTCGCTTGTTCCGGAAGGATTCAACCAAGAGCAAATTTCTCTCGACAGTCCTCTGCAAGCGTTGGTAGCTGACGTAGGCCACGAGATACTCCAGCTCCCTGACCCTGTCCTCCGCCGCGCCCGACTTTCGAAAGTCGTTTAGCTCATCCGTGACGACCTTCAACGCATCATGATAGACCATAAAGAGCTTATCATAGGCATCAAGGCTGGCGCGCTCCCCGAACATCTCATTCTCCTGGTCCACCATGAGCACAGCCTCCCTGACCTTCTCCGCCCTCAACTGCACGGAGACGCCACACCAAACAACCTCCCCAAACGACTCGGCCATCTTCCTCCTTGCCTCAAGCAGGGCCTTCTGAATCTTCTCCGCGAGGACATCCCCCCCTTCTTTCTCCTTCCTCATCTCCTGCAGCAGGGCCTCCTCCTCCGCCGAGCCCTCGCCCCTCTTCAGATGGTATTTACAAAACCTGATGCCCTGGTTAACCTCCTCCAGTCTCTTCTCATACAGCGCAGCTCCACTACTGCCCGCCCTCACGCCCGCCATGCCCTGGTAAATGTTGTGGACGGTCTCATAGGCGGCCAGTGCGACGGGCCACCTCTCCTGCTCGAGTGCGAGGGCGGCGTGCATGCCGCGCGCGTAGGCCTCCCAACTCGAGAGCGAGTCCTCGGCGGCGGCGGCGGC